CATGCCCCCGCCCCCCGCCTACCGGGACCCTGGGGCGCAGGGTTGGCCCTGCTGCTCCAAGCAGACGCCTGGGAAGGGTCGCCCCAGCTCTGTAGCCACTAGCTGTGGCCTTCATTGCAATTACAGGATGTTCCAGCTCTCCGGCCGTGCAAATCTGCTTCTGCCCCCACAAACCTGCTTCCCCCCCACATCACCTCCCCTCTCCTCCCCTCCCTCCTCCGCTCCCTCCTCCTCCCCCTTCTCTGCTCCTTCCTCCTCCCCCTCCTCCCTCCTCGCCCTCGCTCCCCTCCCTTCCTTGCCCCAGGGGTCACCCCAGGAGCATCTCGACACTTCCTACATACACCGTCCTCCGGAGCCTACTCCCCAGGTGCCCCCACCTGCCACAGCTGCCACCTGGCTGGAGGGGAAGAGCAGACACCGGCCTGCGTCCCCCAGGGCCCGGCAGGTGGCTGTGCGATGCAAACCTCCCCAGCAGTGGGGGGTCCTGGGGGAGGGGTGCACTGCCGGGCAGCGCGTCAGGGTCTGAACAACATGGGGGAGCCGACTCTGTCCCCACAGTCAGTTGCTTCTCTCCAGTCGATGGAACAAAAGGCCGAGGCAGGGGGACAGTTAAGGGACAGGGACGTGAGAGCTAGGGCCCGCGTGAGGACGGAAGCCCCCTCCCACAGCCCCGGGCAGAGACGCCGAGGTCCAGTCCAGGACCTGAAGGGCACCTCCAGAGATCAGACGCCCCACCGGGCTCAGGGACAGGGTTGGGACAGAATGTGACCCTGATGGATGGGGACATCCGGGTGATACACCCCAAATTTTGAACTCCCAGACTTCCTGCACCCTCTGAGCATGCAGAGTGCCCAGCCCTCCCTGGGGGGGGGCACTGTCCCCCTTGCTCGGAGACAATGCAGAGCCCTCTGACCCTCAAAGGTGTCATTTGAGTGCAGACGGAGGTTGGCCGGGCCCCCGCTTTGGCTCTGTGAGGTAAGAGCTACCGCTGAGAAGCCTGGGCTGGCCCCGCCTGGCGCTCCGCCCAGATGGTCGGCCTCGACATCACGCCTCGGGGGGGATGGCAGGACCCGGTGTCCCCCTGACAGGCGGGAAGGTCGGAGGCGTTTCCCGCCTTCTCCCAGGGAATTCAGAACCAGCTCCCAGCTCCCAGCTCCCAGCTCCAGCTCCCAGCTCCAGCTCCCAGCTCCAGCTCCCAGCTCCCAGTTCCAGCTCCCAGCTCCCAGATCCAGCTCCCAGATCCAGCTCCCAGTTCCCAGATCCAGCTCCAGCTTCCAGCTCCCAGCTCCAGCTCCCAGCTCCAGCTCCCAGCTCCAGCTCCCAGCTCCAGATCCCAGATCCAGCTCCCAGCTCCCAGCTCCCAGCTCCCAGCTCCAGATCCCAGATCCAGCTCCCAGCTCTCAGCTCCCAGCTCCCAGATGCTCACGGTTTTGTCTGGAGTTCCGCTGAACAGAGATTCATTAGGATGGAGCTAATATTTTTAATTTTGAATTCTTTCAACTGAAGATTATGGTAGACTTCCGGCTCTTTCTTTAAGTTGTGTTTTTAAAACTCATCTCTGGGTCGTCCAAAAAGCTTGCCAGTTTGTTTCCCTCCTGTTGGCTGTTTCGAGATGTCTATGTCTAATGCCATTTGGCATTGGCTGGATCTTTTAGAATAATAACTAATACTAGCAGGAATAGTGAGCATCTTTCTCTTGATCTTGATTTTAACTGCAGTGCTCCTGATATACTTGCATTAAGCATGACCTGGGTTGGGGCGCATTCCTATTATTTATTTGATAAGATTGTATTTTTGTTATTTAACTATCACATGCATTAACATAAATACCTACTTAAACCGACGATTAAAAAACACTCATCCAGGCTCTGCGTTCCATCCATGCAAAGAGGCAGGAGACGCACTGAGCACGTCTCAGCTTCGTGCTGAAAACTGCGGTGCCACCTTCTTCCTCGAAGAGTCGGGACCCACCCTGAATGCGCCTTCCGAATGCGCTTCTCGGTTGCCGAGCGTGGAACGTACCATGTGGGAGGCCCCAAGCGCTCACTTAGAAGAGGGGGGGCTGCCCCAGCCGCGCCTCTAC